TAGAAAGATGCAGTATGCTCACGGCCTGCAGGACTCAATAGAAGAGTTATGCTATTCCATACGAGTTGATCTATAGATTGAATTTTAATCTCATTCAAAATTGCAATAGATTTTTTCAAAGTTTTATTAAGATATAACTCACATACCACACAATTCATTCATTAAAAGTGTACAATTCAGTAGTTTTAGCATATTTACAAGCTGTGAAACCATCACCACAATCTGATTACTGAACATTTTGTCACCCTAAAAAGAAACCTTATATCCATTTCCTCTTTCTCCAGCTCTAGGCATCTACTAATCTACTTTCTTTCTCTATGGATTTGTCTGTTTTAGACATTGCGTATAAATGGAACCATACAATATGTGGTCTTTTGTAACTGGCTTCTTTGTAACTCTGTTAGCACAATGTTTTCAAAGTTCATCCATGTCATAGTATGTACCAATGCTTCATTCCTTTTTATTGCTGAATAATATTAGATTGCATAGTGCTGTTACATTTTGTTCATCAGTTGGTATATTGTTTTCACTTTTTGCTATTATGAACAATGCTGTTATGAACATTTCTTTTTTGTTTTTGTATTTTAACAGCTCTATTAAGGTATAATTGATGTACAAAAAGACCCTGCCCACATTTAATGTATACAACTTAATGGGTTTGAACATATGCATGTACCTGTGAAACTATCACCACAATCAAGGTAATAAACATATCCATTGTTTCCAAAAGGTTTCTCCTGGCCTCCCCCTTTTGTTTGTGTGTGGTAAGAACATTTTACTTGAGATTTACGCTCTTAACAAATTTTCCGTAAAATACAGTATTGTTAACTGTAGTCGCTGTGTTGTACAGAAGATCTCTAGAAGTTATTCATCCGGCATAACTGAAACTTTATACTGGTTGAACAACAACTCCCCATTTTCCCTTCCTCTCAGTCCCTGATAACCACCATTCTACTCTCTGCTTTCATGAATTTGAGTATTTTAGATACCACATAGAAGTGGGATCTTGCAGTATTTGTCCTTCTGTGACTAGCATAATATCTTCCAGGTTTACCTATGTTGTTACATATGGAAGAATTCCATTCTTTTTTAAGGTTAAACAATATTCCACTAATGTGAATATCCAAGAATATTCACATTTTCTTTACCCAGTCATCTGTCAATGGGCATTTAGGTTGTTTCTGTATCTTGGCTTTTGTGAATAATGTGCAATGAACATGACAGCACAGATCTCTCTTCAAAATTCTAATCTCAATTCAGCAGTGAAATTGCTGGGTTATGTGATAGTTTGTATCCCCATCAAAACTCCAATGGCATTTTTTTCCCTTTTCTTCTTCTCCCCAAAGCCCCCCAGTACATAGTGTATATTGTAGTTGTGGTCCTTCTGGTTGTACTATGTGGGACGCCACCTCAGCATGGCCTGATGAGTTGTACCACGTCCACACCCAGAATCTGAACTGGCAAAGCCCTGGGCCGCCAAAGTGGAGCCCATGAACTTAGCCACTCAGCCATGAAGCTGGCCCCCAATGGCATTTTTACAGAAATAGAAAAGCAATCATAAAATTCATATGGAACCACAAAATACCCTGAGTGGCCATAGCAATTTTGAGAAAGAACAAAGCTGAAGACCTCACCTCACACTTGTTAATTTCAAAATGTATTACAAATCTACAGTAATTAAAACAGCATGGTACTGGCATAAAGACAGACATATAAACCAACAGAGCAGAATAGAGAGCCCAGAAATAAACCCAGGAATATACGATAAACTGATCTTTGACGAGAGTGCCAAGCAAATACAGTGAGGAAGAGATGGTCTCTTCAAGAAATGGTATTGGGAAAATTGGGTGTTCACATGCAAAAGAAGGAAATCAGGCCCACACTATCCACATAAATCAACTCAAAATGGACTAAAGACTTACATATAAGTCCTGAAACTATAAAACTCCTAGAGCAAAACATTGGGGAAACACTTCTAGACATTGGTCTTGGCGATGATTTCTTGGATATGACACCAAAAGCACAGGCAACAAAAGCAAAGATAGACAAGTAGAACTACAGTGAACTAAAGGGCTTCAGCCCAGGAAAGGGAACAAGCAACACAGTGAAAAAGCAACCTATGGAATAGGGAACAATATTTGCAATCCATATACCTGATAAGAGGTTAATATCCAAAATATATAAGGAACTCCTAGAACTCCAAAGCAAAAAAACAAATAACTTGATTGAAAAATGGATAAAGGACTTGAAAAGACATTTCTCCAAAGAAGACTTACAAATGGCCAACAGTACATGAAAAGGTGCTCAACATCGCTAGTCGCCAGGGAAATGCAAATCAAAATCACGATGAGACATCACCTCACATCAGTTAGGATGGCTAGTACAAAAAAATATATATATATCAAGTTTTGGTGAGGATGTGAAGAAATTGGAACCCTTGCAGAACTTCTGGTAAGAATGTAAAGTAGTGTAACCATTATGGAAAATGGTATGGAAGTTATTCTCAAAAAATAAAAATAGAACTGCTGTGAACATTCTTGTACAAATTTTTGCATGGACAGATGTTGCCATTTCTCTTGGAGATATGCCCAGGAGTGGAATTGCTGGATAATATGGTAACTCTATGTTTAATATTTTGAGGAGCTATCAAATTGTTCTCCAAAGTAGTTGTACCATTTTTCATTTGTGTCAGCAAGGTGTGAGTTTTCCAATTTCTCCCCAACCTTGTAAGCACTTGTTATTTTTTGTCTTTTTTATTATAGCCTTCCTAGTAGGTGTGAGGTGGATTCTCACCGTGTTTTTGATTTGCATTACCCTGATAATTATATTGAGTGTGTTTTCATGTCCCATTGTTTATTTATATATCTTCTTGGAGAAAGTTCTATTCACATCTTTTGCTCATTTTTTAATTGGATTATATGTCTCTTTTATTATTGACTTATAAGAGTTCTTTATATATTCTGTATACAATCCCTTATCAGATTTATGATTTACAAGTATTTTTTCCATTCTGTGGGTGATCTTTTCACTTTCTTGATAGTGTTCTTTGAAGCAGAAAAGTGTTGTACTTTGATGATCTGATCTGTCTATTTTTTTTCTTTTGTTACTTGAATTTAGTGTCATATTTAGGAATCATTGCCTAACTCAAGGTCGTGAAGATTTACTTTTATGTTTTCTTCTAAGAGCAGGAGCTCTTCTATTTAGGTCTATGATCCAATTTAAGTTACTTTTTCTGTATGGTGTGAGGAAGGGGTCCAACTTCATTCTTCTACATGTAGATATCCAGTTGTCTCAACTTTGAAAAGACTATTCTTTTCAACATTTCAAAATTCAACTATCTGGATAAGGGCAGACTGTTTTCCAAAAGGATTTTACCGCTCTCTACTCTGAGCCAGAGCATATGAAAATTTCTGGTCCTCTGCATCCTCGCAATGGTGGTATTGTGAAAAGACTATTGAAAATCTTTGAAAAGACTATTCTTTGCCCCATTTAATTGTCTTGACGGCCTTGTCAAAACTCAAATGGTTATATATGTAAAGATTTGTTTCTGGACTCTTCAATTCTATTCCACTGATCTATGTTGATTCTACACCAGTGCCACACAGTCTTGATTACTGTAGCTTTAAAGTAAGCTTTGAAATTAGGAAGTATACATCCTCAAGCTTTTCCTTTTTTTTTCAAGATTCCGGGGCCCTTTTATCCCCATATAAATTTCATTATTTTTTAAGTAATTTGACAATTTAATGAAAATGTATATGGAAGCACAAAGGGCCAGAAAATGCCAAGTTGTTTTTGAAGACGAACAAGGTGGGAGTATTCATGAGACCAGATATCAAGATTTACCATACAGTGATAATAATTATGGCAGTGTGGCCTTGGTTTGGGGATAGGCAAATAGACAAATGGAGCAGAATAGAATGCTTAGAGATAGACCCACACACATTTGTACCTTTGATATACGACATAGGTGACATTGCAGATCAGTGGTAAAAGGACAAAATATAAATGTACTTTACTGGAGTAATTGGTTATCTACAGAGAAGAAAGATCTACGATCCTCAGAAATCAATTCCAGGTAGATTAAAAATTAAATGTGAAAGGTAAATGATAAAACATTTGGATGATTACATAGAGGATAATCTTCAGGACCTCTGAGAAGCAAGGGATTAGTTAAGTAAGACCTAAAATGCATTTATTACAAAGGAAAATATAGATGAAATAAATTGGACTCCATACAAATTAAGAACTTAGGTTATTCAAATGAAAATTTAAAGACATTAAAAAGCTAACTATCCACTGAGTGGGAAAAGATATTTGCATTACAGATACCTGATAAAAGTCTAGAACCTGTAACAGAGAACCAAAACGGCACTCACCATCATAGAAAAGACACAACATAATAGAAACATGAGCAAAGGACTTAAAAAGAAACTAAACGAAAGAGGAGGTTCAAATGGCCAACGAAAAGGTGGTCAGCTTCATAATTAACATAGGAAATGCAAATTAAAAAGATAATAAGATATATTGTCACCCACCACATTAGCAAAATTCCAATAGACTATTAATACCACCACTGCGAGGATGCAGAGCACCAGGAATTCACATATACTCCTGATCAGAGTAGATATTGGTGCAATTACTTTGGAAAACAGTTTCTTGTTATCCAGACAGTTGAAAATATGACTACCCAGTAATCCCACTCCTGGATGTGTTTCCAAATATGTCCGAGGAGACATATATAAGAATTTTCATAGCAGAATTCGAAGTAGTAGTCAAAAACTAGAAACAAACTAAATTCCCATTAATAGTAGAATGGATAAATAAGTTTTGGTATACTACTGTGAGGTTGCCCATGGATGATTGCCCCTCTGGAAAATTCTCCTAGCTTAAGCATTCCTCAGATTCCACACTTACCAGAGCATCTTACAGTGCGTTACAGGGGCTCTGGGCTTTAACAGCGTCAAATGGAATGAAACAATTGACAACAACCAGGAGACCTCTTAAGTAGGCAACAGAGCTTTATTGTTGTATGAGGGAGAAGAGGAAGGAAGATCAGGATCCAGGATGGACACTTGGGTGATGAGAACAAACAGGTCATTTCATAGGCTCCATCAGTTCCACAAAGAGAAGAGGGAGTAGGAGAAGCAACTCTAGAGCAGGTCCTTGCCTTGAGGTTTCCCCTTAGGATTGCTTCGTGATGCCCAGTCTCCCGGTCAGCAGCAGCCCCCAGAGCCACCGCAGCAGCCAGAGCCCCCCGAGGGCTCATACTCACAGCAGTCGGAGCTCTGGTGCCTGCGCTGCCGGTGGAAGAGACGGGGCCTGTGGTGGCTCAGGCAGCAGCCGCCACCCCCAGAGCTGCAGCAGCCCCCAGAGCTGGGGCCACAGCAGGAGGAGACTGGAGGGGGACACGGGGCTGGGCACTGGGGCGGGCACTTTGGAGGACACTTGGGTGAGCATTTTGGGGGGCACTTGGGAGGGGGCTGGCACTGCTGCTGGTTCTGCTGGAAGGACATCTTGGTGGGACTTTTCAACCTGAAAGTTAATCATGAAATTCTTTAGCTATGTAAAACCAAGGATGGTAATTTAATTTCTTTTAAAATTAAATCATATGGTGATGGTTAACGATATCTACCATGCATACATCAGTAAATAAAAAGAAGCAACTTAAGTCTTTCTCCTGAATAAAAATCTATGGTTTGAAAAGTCAGATGTAATAGGAACTTCTTATTCTATTTTTCAATAGATAGCCAGTATTTCTTAATCAACATAAGTTACATAAAGCATCCACACCCGACTCAAGTGCTTTTTCTCTTAATATAAGAATAAATCCCTAACAAAATTGTGAGACCCATACTTCTCCAAGTCCAAGGCAAGATTTTCAGAGACTTGGGTCAGATTGAGTCTTATTTCTTCTCATTATAGGCCAGAATCAAAGATACAACTCTTTCCTCATCCTCCCTCCTTCCTCCCCGCCCTTCTGTTCTGCTCTTCCCCTCTCAGCTGTCAACTCCTCTCTATCCAGCTCAGAGTCCCCTTGGGCTCCATTTCCCACTCACCTGTTCCCAGGCAGGAGCACAGACTCGTCCCTGAGGAGTCAGAACAGATGAGATACTGGAGCCAAGACGTCTTTTATAGGCCCCAGGCTTGGCTCTGGGAGGGGCAGAAAGCGGCTCTTGCACAACTAGGTACGCACTGGGTCATTCTTGACATTCCCTTGCCTCTTGTGCCTTCCTCCCAGGAGGCCTCGGGAGATCCCAGGACCCCAACCAGGGTTGGACTCTAGAGGAACCTTACAAGTCACAGCCTTCCTCAGGCTGAATCCCTGAGGAGCTGACTGGGGATCCCCAAGGAGCCAGTGCCTGGACAAAGACTCAGGAACTGACTTCTGAGGAAACCAGCGGTCCATACTACAGCTTCCTTATGGAAGTGTTTTATTCCTTTTTTCTTTCATCTCCAAGAATGTTTTTGTGAGCCCTGCTTTCATGGCCAGGTTGGTGTCTCTGGGGCATTGAATCAGGGACCATTTGCTTCCCTCCTAGGATACACTCCTCCATACACATCCATCCCTCCCTGGCCAGCCCCTCATTCCTGATGGCGTGTCCCCGGCCGCCCGCAGGTCACTGCTAACAGGTTCATTGGGTGATCAAAGTAGTTTCCTCATATTCCTTTGGTGATGATGATTATTATAATTAAACCTCTTCTCTTAGAAATCAAATGTCTACTATTTTATAAAACGGTTTTATTACAAGGAAATAGTCCCTCAAATTGGAATCAGGACATCAGGGATCAAATTATAGCTCTGCTGTTTATGAGCTGGGTGACCTCAAAACTTCACTTAGACAATATAAATCCTCAACTGTAAAATGAGTGAATTAGTACTATTCTCACTGCATTTTAGGGACTATTAAATGGGGTTTAGTACAGGAGTAGGCACACGAAAGATGCTTTAAAAATGTCAGTTTTAAAAAATACTGTATGCTGGATTCAGGCATTTTGCCTACGTGGTATCTGAGATGGAGAGACAAAATATTCAGTTCCTGCCCTCAAAAATTTTATTTCAAAATATTGATAGGCTAGTGAAAACTCTCCTGGGAATGTATGTAATGGCTTCAGGGCTCTGAGAAGCATAATTATTTCTAGTCAAGAGGGTGATGGAAACTCAATGGTTCATTTAATTTTGTTAGTGAATGAGAGGAGAGTAAGGGCTCCAATACGATTTCAGATTAGACAACTTGGCCCATTAATTAATTCATGAAATTAATTCACCATACATTTACTGAGGGCCTACTGTATAGCGTGAACTTGGAATACAGCTTTGAAAAGCAGAGACAGTCCTTTCCTTTACATACACATTATCCAGAGGGTAAGAGTGTATGATCTCTAAATTTCTATCAACTAAAAGGTGCTCGTCTTCAATTTATTTATCTTCTAGTCTCAGATATAGCCCCCTGCTCTTGATTAAGAGGGAAAAAATGAGGGGCCAACCCCATGCCACAGCAGTTAAGTTTGCACGTTCCACTTGGGCGGCCCAGGGTTCACAGGTTCCGATCCCAGGCTCAGACTGACATACTGCTCATCAAGCCATGCTGTGACAGGCATCCCACATATAAAGTAGAGGAAGATGGGCACGGATGTTAGCTCAGGGCCAATCTTCTTCAGCAAGAAGAGGAGGATTGGCAGCAGATGTTAGCTCAGGGCTAATCTTCCTCAAAAAGAAAATTAAATAAAAAAATTAGATTAAATAAAAAAGAGTGAAAAAATGATATATGAATATAGCGATTAACCAAAAAGATACTGTTTGATCACCTACAAGGTTTTCAGCTCACATTTTGTGCAAACATTCAAGATAACAGGGGTAAATAACGTGTGTCACAGCCTCCAGGGACTCACAATCCAGGGGATATTCTGAAGACCACTGTGAAAAGCCATGTGCATGCAAGATGAGTTTGAGGCTGGCACTCTCCTGAGTCACAGTATCCCAATGATATTGTTGGGACACCAGATTACCTGGCAATGGCCTCAGCGATGCCATTCTAGGTTTCCTCATTCTCGTTGACAAAGATGATAGTAACCATGCAGGGAGAGAATGAGAAAGACTGTGCCTTTATGAGTGTGTGTGTGTGTGTGTGTGTGTGTGTGTGTGTGTGAAGCATGTGCATGGATGTGTGTCGCAAGGCCATGCATTAGCACAGAAGTGTGCATATGGAGTTGGATCAAACACTGCAAAGATGAAGGGGGACTCATAAATCCACAAAGCCAGTCTCAGGGGATAAAATGTCCTTTCCTTTTGTGATCCGATATGACCAGCCACTGTCGAGGATCAGTCCCATGGCCTTTCACACTAACGCCTAAGGATTCCAGGTATTCTTGGGTCCACAGTCATTGTATCACCAGAGTGTGAGGACTCTGAATGAGGTCTTATTCCTTGTTTCTTTTCCTGGCTTGTCTAGCAATTGCTTATGGAATACTGATTAGATGAATGGATGGATAAATGAAAGGTTATTAAAAGAATGACCTGGGAGTTATTTAAGATACTCCCCTTGAACCACCTCTCCTTTGCCTAGAAATTCATTGACTTACACATTAATCCCACCAAATGTCTTTAAAGATGCAAAAGTTTTGCTGTGCCTTCAAATTTGCTCCATCTCAAAACCAACTTACCCCCAAAACATGTTGTCTCTTTGTGACATCACCTTTCCTATCCACCAGACATGAGACTTTATCAATGTCATTCATTCACCTCTCTTCTCTATCTTCCACAAGTAATGGGTTAATAACTTTAAAGTTTCTTCCTATAAAATCTGTCTCTTAGCTCATTTCAACCTCTCCTTCCCACTGAAAACAGATAACCCCAGTCCTGAACCACCAGCTCACAGAGATGACCTGGAGGTGAGGGTGTGACCTCCAGTCTCCTGAGAAGGAATGAGTGCATAGTCACCTGTGAAGTCATTTCTAAATTCTGGCCATCAGAATCTGGCGGGGCAGCTTGGAATCTCCCATGCCTTTCCAAGGAGGGGAGAGAGGAGGAAATAAGAATATCAAGAATAACCATGCATGCACCCTTAATGAGTAAGTCACCTCCTGCTCCTCCTAGAACCGGCAGGAAGCCTGGAGAGCATCCCCTATCAAAGGCATCCCTGGCCCTGTTCCTGCCCCCTCATCTGTTTTGTCTTCTCAAGCACCTGTTCTTGTCTTCATCTGTCATCATTGAGAATTTATCTACAGGAGCCATGGAAGGGGCTCTGAGCAGCAGGATGGCAGGCAAATAACCCCACTGAGAGAGTGGGTTTCCGGGAAAGACAAAAGGGCAAGGCAGAAGAGAAAGGCATGAGAAATAGAGGGGTATTTTGTGCAACATGAGAACTAGTCCGGAAACAACAGTACTTGGAGCCAAAAAACATGGAAACAGCTACTCTGAGTCCAGCTTGTTGAGCAGAACTTACCTTAAGTTGTTTGAATTTCACATACTATAAATAGCGTGTGCCTTCCAAGTTCAATTTCAGAGTACTGATTAGGAACACAGACTCTGAAGCCAAATTACATGGGTTTGAATTCTGAGAACCAGGTACTTGCTATGAAACTTAAGGTAAGTTCCTTCAATTGTCTGTGCCTCCTCAGTTTTCTCATGTGTGAAGTGTGGATAATAATACCTAAAAGCAATGTTGTGTAAATTCTGTGAATTAATTGTGTAAATCAATTGTTACTTGTGTAAATTTTTACATATGAAACAACTAGAGGAGTGCATGTCACATAATAAAGACAAATCAAATGTTTAGAATTATCATAATTACATAGTTCTGAATTAGGTGTGAAGACAGAGAAAAGTGGCTGGGATGGTGGCAGACTAGGGTTGAAACCTGACTTAGCGCTTGTTCACTGGCAAGGCCATGAGACAACCAGGAAATGGTAGCACGGGTAATGTCTTTATGAATAGTAATGGTTTTGTTCATTATTTACAAGCACAAGGAGAGTTGTTTGGGAAAAGCAAAGCATCCTTATACTAGGTTTATAGGTATGTTCTGCCGTTTAGTTCACTCTCAACTTGATTAAATTCATGATGAGAATCCTGCCAGCCAATCCAGCAGCAGTGGGAGTCCCTACCAAGGGTCTGCCAACATGCCTGTCTCTGTGCCCAGCTCCCATGTCTTCCTAGCAGTGGTGGTAGCTGTTGATCCAACTCTGGCAACAACTGCTCCTTGAGCTACCACAGGCACCACAAAGGCCACCAACATTAGCCGCAGAGCTGTGGCAGCCTCAATGAGAGTCTGAAGACTCTGGTTGCTGCCAGAGCTGTTGACCTTAGAGGGTCAGTGTTGAGAAAACGAAAATGCCAAGAACTCTTTCTGGCCCAATGCTTCCTTTCTACCCTTCCCGCTCCTGGCTGACCCTCTTTGGACTCAGGTTTACCAGATAGAATTTTCTACTCAATGTCGTTGGAAGTGCTTTCTAGCGATTCTGGCATAAGTGAAAATCATTCTACCCTTTCTTTTTCCCACTGTTTACCCTTTCTCACTTGAGTTGTATTTCCGATAACCCCAACTCACAGGAATCCTTAATCATCCTTTTACCCTCCCACCCACTTGTGTTTCTCCAAAACATGGATTCCCGTACCCGTGGAATCCTGCCCCTCTTCCCGTTATAATGCCATCCCAGACTTCATCAGAGATCCAAGTTTTTATGGAGCTGAGTCCTGGAAAAACAGAGATCCTCAGACCTCCTGAGGGCCACATTTGCCTCTTATCAGAGGCTTGATGGGGGACCCAAACACCTTTAACCTAAGGGCTCCTCATGCCCATTGTCCCAGGCAAAGGTCCTTTATCAGCTCTGGTCCCCACATTCTTTGGAATTTGCTGTGGCAACTTGTGCCTGGCGACAACTTCCAGTGGAATCTCCCTCCACATTTCCCACCTCCCCTTTCCTGGAGCCACGATGCTCATTATTTCTTTCTCTCCTCTCCCATCAGCCTACAGGGACAGCCGCAAACTCAGCCTTACTGGAATCTTATGAGGGCAACTAATAAACAAGGCTGATTAGGTGCTGGTATTTTTGGAATTTCTTCTCCATCCCTTTGGCATCTGACTCTATTGCAAGGAAGACTTCAATATTATCTAGGACCTTGGTGACCTCACAGTGTGCTCCCTCTGGTTGGCCCCAGAAAGGAATAATATTGGGGGGAAGAAAAAGGAGAAAAAAATAATTTCTAATACTAGCATATGTGGTAATGGAGCCAAGGCAGCAGTATTTTTTAAATGCTCTCCCATGATTCTAAAGTGCAAGGAAAGTCAAAAACCTCCAGACTAGACAGAGAGGAAGTTGTTCTGCCATCAGAACGGATCTGGGAAGGCTCCTTAGAAGTGGGCAAACTGAAGATAAGACTTTGAAATACATATAGGAGTTCTAAAAATATGTTCTTGTGGAAAACTGGTGTCCCATGTGTAGAAGTATTTCCTTTGTAAGAACTGAAAAATATCAGTTTACCTTATTCCCAGAAAAAAAGAAGCATACTAAATCTTGCGAATTTTAAGGTTTTATTTGACTCAAATATTTTTGAACCGCTTATCATGACTGATGCATTGACCAATGATAAAAGATGATATACTGAAGAAAATAGCAAATAAATGTTAAAGAAAAACTCGGAAATACGATTACATAAAAATATTTATGTGCATCCTTCCAGCTGCAGCACCATATTAACTAGTTAGAAGCAGCCAGGGTAAATGGAGAGGGAAGAGGCAGGGTTTCGTGGGAGAGCCAGCTGAGCGCAGCCAGCAAGCAGCTGACCAGCGCAATTTCTGCAGAGGATTTTGATGGGCTAATTGTGTTGTTGGGAACTCATACTGTGAATAGACTATAAACGGCCTTGGCTGTTTAATATACTATTTTAAATTCCTTCTATGAGCAGGGAAAGCCATTGAAGTTTCTGAGCAGGTAAGAAATGAGGTTTTGGGAATCAGCACTAGCTTGGAAGCCAAGAGAATTGCGCTCAAGTCCCAACTTGGCCAATACTTTCATCTGTGACTTTTGTAAGTCAATTTACTGCTCTGTGCCTCAGTTTCTTCATCTAAACTTTCTCTTCACTCTACGAATCTATGATTGTAATGAAAATTTCTACTTAAAGGCCCATTGATTCATTCATCAACTGATTCACTCAAAAAATACTTATTGAGCAGCTACCAGATGACAGGTTCTGTTCTTGGTCTGAGGCATCAGAGGAAAACAGAAAAATTTCCTGCTCCCACAGCGCTCGAAGTCTGGCAGACGTGACTAACCCAGCCTTTCTGAAAAGGAATTTGATAAAATTCAACACTAAGTCCCAATTGAAAACACATTTAAAATTTTGGGAGAAAGCAACTTCTACTACATGATAAAGAATGTCTATCACCATTTTAATTTGTCATTGGCCTGAATTGTCTAGCAAACGGAAATAAAAATAAACAGAAAAAGAGGTAAAGTAATTAAAAATAAGAAAACAAAATATATTTGTTTGCATCTAGCATGATTATAAATCTAGAATATCACAAGAATAAACAAGAAAATCCTTAAAGTTAGTTAAAAAAAAAATAATCCCTCAAACTAAGTACTATAAAACAGCAAAATCTAGCTTGAAGCTTTGAGAGGAAATCACATTTTTCATAAACTACAAAACCAAAAAAATGCTCAGAAATCTCCTCATTAAAAAAATCTTAATAAAAATCACCTCAATAAAAACTTAAAAGCTTATATCAAGGAAACTACAAAACTGCGCTCTTAGATATAAAATAAAATTTGAACAGAGAAGCAGACTTTTCCTCTGGGAGGGAAGAAGGGATATTATAAAGTAGTCAGTTCTTCCCAAACCACACTGTACTTTTTGTGCAACTCTATGAAAATTATATTATTTCAGTATTTGAGAAAAGGATTTGACTTAATATAGAGGCCTAATTAGGTGAATCTAGTTTTAATATTTTTTAAAAGAATAATGAAGGGATAATAATAGTAATGCCCTACTAGATTATTTTTAAGGGGACAGAGCTATAAAAGCCTAACGTGTGTTATGCTTGCATAGCTCTTGTCAGAGCCTCAGGTGCCCTGAGCTTCTGCTTCATACTCTTCCTGCCCTTGAGAGACTGATCAAGACCTTCCTTGGCCCATCTCTGACTGGGTGACTGGGAGACTGGTAGACAGACATAAGGGGCAGGCAGAAGTAACTCCGAGTCTCCCTCATGTATGGATAAGCCAGGTTGTGTGCTTCTCTCCAAGGAGCTCCACACAGCACTCCAGACTTTCCCTGCTGTGGTTCTGGGAACTCCCAACTTTCCTGCCTAATCAGTTTTCTGCCTGGTCTTGCCCTGGTGCACACCTCACAGCCCATGCAGGTGTCACTGTGGGTATGGTGTTCCTAAGTTTTATATTAAGGGCCACCTGTGTGACTCTTCCAGATATAAGGAAGCACATCTGGGAGGGTCTGTGTCACTGATTCCAGATACCCAGCCACACAGCCATCTTTCTCTGAAAGTGGTAACAACTGGGATCAACTGGTTGTGTGCCCACTGTTTATTCTCCCCCTTTGTCCCTAACTACAGAATCTCTACACTGTGTCCAGACACAAAACAAGGTCCAGATACAAAAATCCACCCTTGTCCACCTCTCTCGTGCATCCAGGCAGCCAATGAGATTAAAGGACCTGTTGGGCTTTAGAAAAGCTCAGTAAAGGACTGATGACCTTGGGATAGCATTTACCCACCCTTTCTCTTCTTCCCACCTAAAACGTGGCCTTGCTGCTCAGAACACCATCAGCAATCTGAGATCACAGATGCCTTGTAGGAAGCAGGAGCCCGAACGATGAAATAATAAGATAGAAGAGCATCCTCTCCTATGATTCCATGGAACCATCACAGCAGCGATGGGATGCCTACCTCTGACTTCATAGTACACGAGTGCAGATAGTCTGCTTTCTATTTAAATCACTGCAATTTTAAGTTTCTGATATAGCGGCAGAACGTAATTTCTAACACACAGGCACACATACCAAACACAAGGTAAGATGCAACTAAAAACAAATATTAGATGAGGAGATCTCCTGTGTATGGAGGGCAAGATAGGGAAGGGACTCTGCTCCCTGTGAAAAGAGTGTGAGGAGCCCAGATAACAGCCCCGTGGGGAAGGAAGGCCACGGTGAGTTGCTCCTACTCACAGCAGAAGCCCCTGACACAGACTCAAGGATTCACCTCCCTTTAAGCATCCCCACCCCCAGAATAACCAAATTCCCATGCTCAGTGGGCCCATTTTATACTGGTTTATTTCTTGAGGGAGGAGCTGTGTCTGTTTTGTTTGCTGACATGTAAACACTAAGGACAGGGAAAACTTCTTAATCTGCTCAAGAAATCCTGAAGCTATAAAGGCAAAGACAGACATAATTTATTACGCAAAAACTAAAAATGTTTTTATAACAAAAGTCATTAGGAATACAGTCAATAAAATTTAATTCATTAAATATTTTAACAAAGACAGATCAAGGTAAAAAATCCATGATATATCAAGCTCTTGAAAATTGAAAAGAAAATAACAAAACAAAAAGTGTCATAAATTTTGTAGAAATGACCAAAAACACATATTTAAAAGCCCAAAATGACTACAGGGACTTGAAAATTCAATTAATAATGAGACTGGCAAAAATAAGGAAGAGCATAAATGAAAGAAAGTGACTCAGCAGAGAGGTGATTTAGAACAGGGCAGAGTGGATAAGCTCAGGCCACTTAGACAATGTCTATTGTTTCTTGTCAGTAGCAGTGAGGGGGACGAGGGGACCGAGCATCTTAATTAGAGATTCCATCCTCACCAGAACCTCTCTCTGCTGAGTCCATCATCCTCACGCAGACACCTCTCAGCCTGAATCTCAGGAGCATTAGCTCCTCACTCCCCTGCTGTGCCCTGCTGCCCCCCACTTCCCCTGTGAACACCTAAGACTCCAATCATCCTGGAGCAGGTGCTTTTCCACCCTGATGTCTGTGGTGACAGAGCTGAGAAGACAAGTATTAAAGTATGGGAGCCCCATTCTTCCCTAGAGTCTGTCCACCTTTTCTTCTTGTTATTTTCTAAGTTACACATTAGTGTTTTTTCTAATAAATAAGCCCCACCATTCATCACTCTACACTCACCTGGCCCAGCGCACGGGCCTGGTGACAGGACAGGGTCCTCAGGCAGCAGATCGACTCCTTGGACAAGGGAGCATGTAACTGATGCAGTAAGTCAAAAGGGCGGATCTGAACCAGACTCTCCTCCCTAGGAGGGAGTTCAATGAGCATGCATTATATATGTTGGGGGAGGGTCTCAATACTCTCTTCAAGCATTTTACCCAACTCCTTATTCTAACAGAAGAACAGTTCTGTGGGATGGAGATTTGTCCCTCTTCCTAGGGTTCCAACAAGTCTACAAAGCTGTGCTTCCCCACCTTTCTCAACTTCTAGAACACAGAGACAGTGAGAACCTTAGTATAGCTCAGTAGGGAAAAAGACAAGGCTACTGTGGTTGGAGGGGACCCTCCTGGAGCTCCACCAGCCCTGCAGTTGGAAGGAATCAGGTCCTCAGAGCAGCTTTTCCCTTATCACCTAATCAAGCCCATCCTGGCATCATAAAGAGAGGCTTCGGAGGCCCTGAGCCTGGGAGACATTGGGGATCACAGAGAAGAGAAGACATTTTGTGGGTAGGAAGGAGAGCTTTATTATAACATGAAGGAAGGAGGAAAGAAAACTCATATCCAGGCTGAGCATTTGGGCTGCCTGATCAAAGACATGGTTCTTCCCAGGAATCTCTATGAGTCTTCGTGGTCCCTGTCAACCCAAGGATTGGGCAAGAGGAAGTGGACAGAGGGAAGCATCAGGCTTCTTGATCATTCATTTCCACCAATAGCTTCTGCATGGGCAGGTCAGCAGCAGCCCCCAGAGCCGCCGCAGCAGCCGGAGCCCCCCGAGGGCTCACCCTCACAGCAGTCAGGGCTCTGGTGCCGCCGCCGGTGGAAGAGACGGGGCCTGTGGTGGCTTAGGCAGCAGCCCCCTCCCCCAGAGCTGCAGCAGCCCCCAGAGCTGGGGCCACAGCAGGAGGAGACTGGAGGGGGACACGGGGCTGGACACTGAGGGGGGCACTTGGGGGGACACTTGGGAGAACATTTAGGGGTGGGGCACTTTGGGAGGCACTTGGGAGGAGGCTGGCACTGCTGCTGGTTCTGCTGGCAGGACATCTCAGCAGGCGTTCAGTCAACCTAAAGGACAATAATGAAACTCTAAATATGCAAAATCAAAGGTCATTATTATATTTCCTTTAAAATCAGTATATACATGGAAGAGGAATGATGTTCAGATCCTACAGATACATCTATGACTGCAAGAAACAAATTAAGTCCTTCCTGATAAAAGTGTGTGGATTAAGAAACCAATAGCATGAGCTTCTTACTCTCCCTTCCAGAGGGAAGCTGGGACGGCTCCATCTGCACAAGCCTACATCAGGTATTTGCAACCCCTGACATGCTCATTCTCTCAGTACAAGCTAAGCTCCCAATTAGATGTTGCAGGACACACTGGGGATGTTCTGGAATATGTTTAACAGTCAGCACTCCAGAAAAAGACATTCTTTGAAGCATTTGCCAATTTCTATGTGTAAATATTCCCAAATTGGCTTTTTCCACCTACCAAAGTGAAGACCTTGAACACAGTTGGGAAAAGCGGGTGCAGTTAGCTCCCCCAGCCTATCAGAGCTACTCCAGAAAATCCAAGACACAGAGCCAGAGACTCAAGGCAGACTGAGTCTTCTTCCTGTTGGTCTGGCACAAAGCACACACAGCTCTCGTTCCTCAGCCTCCTCCTTATCCTCATTCCTTGGTTCTGTTCTTCACCTTCCAGCCCTCCCCACAGCACCCTCCTCTCCTTCCTCCCCTGTCCTGCTCAGAGTTCCATATCCCGCTGGGTTCCATATCCCACTCACCCTGGTCACAGGCAGGAGCACAGAGGAGTCAGAGCGGATGAGATACTGGAGCCAGGACGTCTTTTATAGGCCCCAGGCTTGGCTCTGGGAGGGGCAAGAGGTGGCTCTTGCACAACCAGGCACGTGCTGGGTCATTCATGACATTCCCCTGCCTCTTTGTGCCTGGCTCCCAGGAGGCCTTGGGAGCTCTCTGGATGCCCCCGTGGGTTAGGGGTGTAAGGGACTTTACCAGTCACATCCTTCCCTGAGGCTGTAGCTCCAGATAGTCAACTCGGGGCTCCCAAGTGGCCTCTGCCTGCCAAGTTTGTTCCATGCATCTCCTTTGGGCGTGTTCTCTGAGGAAACCTCAGTCCTTAGCCATAACTTCTGGTTCTTGTGGAAATGTTCCATTCTGGCTCTTCCCACCTGAGAAGTTTCTAGTGCATGTCCTGCCCTGGGTGCAGCCGTCTCAGGTGGCTCCACAGCCTTGAATCAGGGGTGTCTCCTCGGCACGCGCTCCGTCTCCTTCCTCTCAGCCCTTCACCTGGACCTCTGAGTCTCTGCGTCCCCTCAGTCTCACTCTGAAAAGCCAATTCTTGGGTTAAATTTGACTTAATCCACTGTCTAGCGTTGTAGAGAATAAACTATCCCTCTAAAACCTAAGCACGTGCTTTAGTCAGAGGAACCGTGCTGTACTGGATCTGCTGCTGGAATCAGAGAACCTACAATCTGCCAACTGGGTAATCTTTGAAAATTGCTTGGACATTATAAATATCAGTTCTCATATGTAAAATGGTTATGGCAAGTCCTACGTCACTGAGTTGTTTAGAATATTGAGAGAGAAGTGGGAAGGGGCTTAGCACAATGCCCTGCACCTGATATATACTTAATGAACACGTGCTTAAAAGAAAGACTAGGAAAGACTTGATGCCATGTCTTGGCTACTTGCCCAGGCATTATGTGGGATTGACTGTCAATAAAGAGCCTGACCTCAGAGAGCTGAACTCAACCAGATACTTAGATGATTTGAAAACTTCCTTTGTAAGTATAAATTCTTCCTTGGGGTTTCTAAGCAGAGTGAGTTCATTTCCTGCCAGGAAAGGGATGGCCAATCAGGGGTCCATGAACTCAGTATTCTAATTCTGAGTTGCACTAGATAGATTCATCTATCCATATATTTATTTACTTTAAAAAGATATATTAAGGATGAACCTGGAAAACATTATGCTAAATGAAAGAAGCTGGTCACAAAATACCACATATTGTATGATTCTACTTATATGAAATGTCCAGAATAGGCAAATCCATAGAGACAAAAAGTGGATCAGTATTTTTCAGGTGCTACAGAGGGACAGGAAGTGACTGTTAATGGGTATGGGTTTATTTTGTTTTTCTGGGAAAGATTTACTCTGAGGTAACTCTGTTACCAATCTTCCTCTCTGTCTTATTATTTTTAATTCCCAAATCTCCAGTACATAGTTGTATATTCTAGTTGTAAGTTGGTCTAGTTCTTCTATGCAAGCCACTGCCACATCATGGCTACTGACAGACAAGTGGTATGGTTCCGTACCCGGTCACTGAAGAAGAGCACACTGAATTTTAACTGCTAAGTCATCATGGCTGGCTCTGGGTATGGGGTTTCCTTAAGGGGTGGTGAAAATGTTCTGAAATTGTGATGATGATTGTACAACTTTGTGAATACATTAAAAATCTTTGAATTGTGCATTTTGAATGGGTAAATTATATAATACGTGAATTATTTCTAAATAAAGATGTTAAAAAATATAATGAGTTAAAAAAAAGATTTGTTAACACCTCATATTAAGAGAGACAAATAGACCCTGTCCTCACATTGCCTAATGCTTGATTGGTGGGGGAGGGGAGGATGAGTAGGGAGCATTGTCCTTTATTGTCCACGTCTAAATAAGAGATTCTATCCCTCTATTTATCCAATCTTATTTTCAGGTCCCTGCTTTCTGAGAGCTTTTAGTTGAAAGATAAAGTAAATCAACAATGTAAACAAAGAGTTTAATTCAGAAGACATTCTTTGAAGGGCTACAACATTCTCAGAGCATGTTTGTCCAAGCATAGGGATATAGAGGTGAATAATATGTGGCCATGACCTTAAGGACTGGAGAATTTAGTGGCCTTTCTGAAGATGACTGCAGTGTAACATCAGCACCAAGGAAGATAACATTTGGGGCATGAACTTCCTGAGTCACTATTTCCCAATGAGATTGGAACACATTGGTTCATTCAACTATCTTCATGGTGATATCATCCTCTGCTTCCTCATTCACTTTGAGAAAGACATTTGTAACCATGGAGTAAGTGGATAATGAGGAAAGCAAGGCTGTGCATGCATGTGTGCAGGCATGTGTATACATGAGTATGGATGAGTTGCATTTACATGAAGTGTAAATGAACATAAGTATGCACGTACGCGAGCATCTGCATCAAGGGGTGGTTGAATAAGAGATGGAACAACTGAAGGGGATCCATCCTCTGGGAAACCAGAGTTGGGAGGATAAACAGCCTTTAACAGTCTCCTAGTGTCCCTTTATATCTCAGAAAACGTTGGGAAATAGCTTACAGGTTAATGAAGAAACAGCTGCCTGTAGGTATTCTTGCATCCATCTCTACAGCCCTCACACCATCGGTGTGTGATTCCTGAGTGCAGAGACCCTTTGTCTGATTGCTCATGCTCCCCCACAGACTAGCCAACTGCTTTTTGCCAATCCTTGTTGCCTGGGTGAATGAACGCATGACCACATTCATTCACATATGAATGAACAAGCAAATGTCATGTGAAGAATGGTCTGGGGCTGATTTCAGAAACTTTACTTGAAGTTCACTTTATCTAGAAAGTCACTAACCTGCATGCAGGTCTCTCCATCTGTCTCCTTGATTTGTTCATCTAGAGGTTCCTGGGAACTGGAACTCAATATATCTCAGAAAACTCTTCCCCACCAAACACTGGAACCTTACTGTAGCAATAGTCCAGGAAAAGCCTCACCCCTCCCTGATGGATCTCTCACATCTGTTTTGCTCATCTGCTCCATTGCTAATCCAGACTTTCTTGTTCTATGTTGGGGTAGCCTTTCTGATAATCTTGTCCACACTGCCCCTGTCTGGTCTTAGCCCTGGTCTCCTCTTGAAAGAGTGGATATAAGGGTTTGGTAAACTATAATTTTCAAAAGTTAAAAACATAACTCTTAAAAATATATATATTTGGGCATATTTCAATTTATTTCTTTCATCAATAAGGGAACCAGCAGAATCATAAAGTTAGTTCAAGATGAATATATGATACTGAAGTATATACAGATATACAGACAGAAAAAAGAGAATGCTGGAATAAGATTGTAAATTTAGATACAAAATTGATTATGTCTTAAAGGGTAATGAAATCACTGGGTAATCTTTTCTATTGAACATAAATAATCTGCAACCTATAAATCTATAAGTTAAATCTAACTTTGCAGGGGTAAAGTTACATTAATAAATCTAACTAATCTAATAAATGTAACCAACTAACAAATCTAACTAATAAATCTAATCAATAATAAATAGAATAAGTAAAATCACTAACTCCTCCCAAAATCTCCCGGATTATATGAGCCTTAGGCAGGGTTGTTAGTTACTAGAACATAGTGTAAATTAGAAAGACTGCTCAGAAATCTGTTTTTGCCTTATTTCTAAGTTTCAGATAGTTTTAATCACCCATTTCCTAAGTTACACAGAGAAGTAGGGGCTCAGACCCATGTCGCATCCGGCTCCTGCTGCAGCCACATCGAGTCCATGAACACGGAGGGACAACCTGGACTTGGTCAGGGCTTCCAGGTGGGGCGGGGAGAGGAGGCAGGGCACCGTGAGAGAATTCACCTGTCCTGCTCCTGCCAGAGCTGGAACTCACTCAGAGTTCGGTGCTAGCATGCCTTGTAAGAGATACACTGACACTGTCCCCCATGGGCTTTGTCTCATCCAGGACCTGTGATTTCCCTTGACTGGTTGCCAGGGTGACTGTACCTGTGGGAGCCGCAGAACTGGCTCTGAGCGGAACCCCTGGGTTCCAGAGAGCATCACCAGGAGGGCGGAGTGTGCAGGAAGGAAGAGGAAGAGGAAGAGGGGGAGCACAACTAACAGGTGCTGGGGGCCAAGCTGGAGCCAGCCGGGAGTGAGGGCCTTGGCACCGGAGGACGGGCAGGTCTGGGCCTTCTAGTGTCACGGACACATTGTAGGACCTAAGGAGGATGGACTTTGTCCTTACCTCAATGCATCCATTCTAAGACACACACTTTTTACGCTTTTAACAGCCCTGAAATCAGGAATCATACAACCTCCCAACCACCCTCTCAGAACTTCTCTCCTCTGTCCTATTGGCCCCACAGGGACAACCACAAGCTCATCCTCAGAGGTAAACTGAGGTCAATAATTCACACTTGCCTGATGAGTCTTCAAAGTGTTAATCTTCTCCTGGTATTTTCGGTATTTCTTCTCCATCCACTTGGCAATTCAATCCACTCCCTGGGGAGCAGTATCATCCAGCACCTTGGTGACCTCACAGCGCCCCTCCCAGGTGAGTCTCAGAGAGTCTATTGAAAACACAACAGCTAGCTATAGACATATATATCCACATACACAAAAATACATACATATACATACATAATAACAGATAACAGAAAATAACAACAATAACTAATGACTATTGACCACTTATTTTGTTCCAGGTATTGTTCTAAGTGCTTTACACATATCATCCCATTTAATCCTTGTAACAATCTTGTGATGTAGGTACTACTCACATCCCCAGAACACTAAAGAAAAAACTGAGGCTCCCAGGGTTAAGCAAATTGCTGAAGTTCACACAGCTAGGAATCAACTTCAGATAATTTGACCTCCCCCCGAAAACCCCACAACTCATTCTCCATTATTTCCATTTAACATTAACAGGTTCCTCCATCTGAAATGATCATAAACTCACACGCAGATTAGATACACTAGTGTGTATGTAATCCATCTGCACTGAGATGATGAGGGAATCTAACGTCCATTAAGCTCTCCTTGGACGTGACTGTCACAGCAAGTCCCAGGATGTCAGACCGTCTGTATGGCCCAGATTATCAATTCTTTTGTCTGGTGGGGTTTCCAGATCACATGACCTTGCACTCTAAATCCCTCCCTCACACCATGTCCCTGACAACCTATCGTCTGCTGCACCCCTTCTTCATGCAACATCTGTGCACTTGCTTGTCAATCCAGACAAAGGTGGAACCGATCATTTCTCATGACTCAGATAGCACTATTTATAGGCTATCATAGAATAAAACTATTTTAATCAGATACTATCATTACACACACACACACACCATGACCTATCATCACTTATTCCAATATTGGTAGGGGCCCACCCAGTGGCACAGCGGTTAAGTTCGCATGTTCCAATTCTTTGTGGCCCTGAGTTCCCCGGTTCAGATCCCGGGTGGGGACATGGTACCGCTTGGCAAAAGCCATTTTGTGGTAGGCATCCCACATATAAAGTAGAGGAAGATGGGCATAGATGCTAGCTCAGGGCCAGGCTTCCTCAGCAAAAAGAGGA